CGTTTGCGTGGGTGGGTGTTGTTTATGTTCGTGTGTTTTTGTGTGTGTGTGTGTGTGTGTGTGTGTGTGTGCGCGCAAGGATAAAAAAATAAGTAAATGTTTATTGTAGGCATGTGTGACTGTGCTGGAAGAGGAGGAGGAGGAGAGAAAAAGTACAGAGCAGAGACATCATGCTGCTCCAAAGCAGCAGCTGAGCTCATCCTGCTAAAGTCACCACAGTTGGACCTGGACATGTTATTTTATGAACCTGGCTCCGAATCCAGGTGCAGTGAATGCGCTACCCCACCAATAAATAAATAAATAAAAAACCTTGAACATCAGACGAAGTTGCTGTTTTCTTAGTGAGCACTCAAGAGCTGCATTCAGAGAAAAGCTGCCATATTTTATTGATGGCGTACAGTCTGAACCAATCACAAAGGAGATGTGAAAAAGGCAAAAAGGTGGAAAAAGGAGGTTTTAAATTTTAAAACAGGTAAGATCTGGCTTGTGTAACAGATTTTTAAAAGATTTCTTTGGACTGTGCAGCTTCAGAGCGCAAAGCATTCACAACTGGCACGTCAGAAATAATTCAAATCAATGCACCGTGATAGGATTTTTCTCAAGTTTTTTAATTTCCTTTTTTAAATAAACAAGCATTATTATTATTATTATTATTATTATTATTATTATTATTATTATTGGTAAAAACAAAATACATCACCTCCAGTTTTATCAGAACATTAGCATTAATAAGTGAGGATAATCCAAACTGACAACTGATATTTTCCATCTTTAGATTTTTGTTCTCTATATGAGACTGATTTCAGCGACAGCACCTTTATTATGACTCAAAGGCTAAAACAGATGATAATGTTTACACATGTCTATCCGTTTGTGTGTTCGTTTTCAACAAATTACTGCATCTGAATAACTTTTGGAGTCAAATGTGCTAATCAAAATTATCCAACGCAGAAATGGTTATAGCTCAGTCAGTCTTACAGCTAATGTGTTAAAATGTAAAAAGTTAAAAGTCGTACACAACACATACAATGTGACGTCACATAAACTTTTTTCAGGTTTAATATGCTACAACTTTGAAGTTGGCGTGAGTTTAATACTCTGGCATTAAATGCAGTAGGTGATATGTTCCTTCAATGAATGCTTTTTCAGTTTTTAACATCAGACACTTAGTAGAATAATAAGCTCATAACCTTGTTAACAATTGAGTAATGTTAAAAATGTGATATTTTATTATTTTGTCAATGAAGCTGCTTTCATGTTTTTGAAAAAATAATGGTGTGAGTCTGACCCTATATGTAGCTGAACATTTCTAACTGATCATCCATCTTTGAATATAATTGAAAACAAACCAACGTGAAAATCCACAGTTTATTTCAAATTAGTTTCAGACACAAAAATAAAAATGTGTCTGTGCAACTACACCATCTTTAGAAATGTGGCCCAACAAGAACAGGGAGTCTCACTTTAAATAAGGAAAGTAATGTTTTTAGTTGACACGCAAGCTTTTTCAAGAAAAAAAAAGCCTGTTTTCAAGTACAGATTGGAACGTTCTCATAGGAGCCACTCGATTGAGGCCACTAAATCTCTCCTAAATATAAACATAAAAACAGGGTTGCGTACACATTTGTCTCAAACAGCTCCCCATCAGTCCTGAGTTTCTGATTGGTGAAACCAGGTGGTTTGTTAAGTCCACCTCAGGCTGTTCAAATCCCTGCGGCCAATCCTTCTTAGTATCACCTCAGTGAAGGATAAATCTCACTTAAAACTATCCTCCCGTTCTGCCAACACATCTAAACACTCTCAGATCACTTTCAACTGTGTCCTAATGGGAAAGTGAGCCACAGCATTACATCACTACACCCTCCCATCTATATTCCTTGTTTGTAAGCTCTCTGCAAGTATCTGTTCTGTTCGCGGTGAAATCTGCTCGTGCTGCATCCAAATTCACCTCCAATTGTGTTTTATTAGGACACCGGCCCACCTGGGCTATCTTTCACGCCAAAGGAGGTGCATCCAAAGTGGCCTGCTGGATTTAGGTGGCCCTTTCGCATGGCCTTGATGGCCCACTGCTGGGCAGGGCAGGCCATCCGGGTCTGGCAAGGCTACACTAAGCAGGAAGCGTGAATTATGGCCAAAGGCCCAGTCTGCGATGCACTGATCCACACTACCAGCTGCCATCTTCCTCCCCTTTCCTGCATGCTCCCCCCACCATCCACTGCTGCGCTGCTCCTCTCTCCTCACGTCTATTTTTAGAGCTGGCTGATTTTTTTTCTTTTCTTTTTTTTTTTACTTTCTAAAATGGGCAAACACGTTGTGGAACAGCAAGGTGTGTGCGCGTTTGGTGGGTGTCTTGGACGTAACAACGCGTGCACTCTCAGCCAACTTGCCCGCACGTTTTCACAAAACCCCCCCACCCCCTTAAACGTCACCACAAACAGTGCATTCCAGCACACATTCAAACTCCCATTTGCATTCGGCTGCTCTCTGTTCTCGGCCCCGAGGGAGATGCTTGATTGAAGGTTTTGGTTCAGAACAAAACAAAACAAGGAAATAGCAAACAACAGCACAGACAGATGCATTCTAATGCTGCATTTTTACATTAAAACTGTGTGTGTGTTTGGGGGGGGTGCTTTAATTTAATCCTTGAGGTTAGCTATTCTTTGATCTCCAATATTAGTTACTTTTCTATATCAGACCTCTTTACTCCATCACCGTAAATACAAGCTATAACCGTACTCTACCATAATAATAAAAAAAACCACAGTGAAGCTCCTCACACACTGGTGACAGTAGCGTCTTTTTCAAAGTGCTGGAAGCTTGTTGCAAAGAAAGGCGCCAACATGCTGCCAATGTTGGCTGCGGAGAAAGGATGCTGCATTCCCAGGAAACAAGAGAGATAAAGAGAGTAGAGAAAAAAAAAACACATCCCTGCGGAGACGGAGGGAGCAACTTCTACTGTAAACTGCATGGAAGTGAGTGAAGCTACAGTAGGCTTCAAAACGTGAATTCTGCCTCAGTGGAGTAAGTAACGCACAGGAGCGCTCATAGGGTGAGAGATGGAAAAAATTCTATTTTTTTTAATCTTCCACAGTTTTTTTCTCAAGTCTTATTAAAGACGAGCAGCGCTGCACATTCGGATATGCGAGTCATTGCCACCAGAGTTTGTCGACCTTCACTTCTCATTTAGTAAGTCTGTAATTCCCCCCCCCTTTTTTCTTCTTCTCTTCTCTTCGACGCTGTGACTTCCTTTTGATTTGTAGGGTTGCTGAATGAGTACATGTAAATGTACACCAATTAGGAAGGATAGAGGACTTTTTGTAAAGCTGCCAAATCTAGGGGTATGGGTGGAAACAGTGATGCTTGGCTGAAAATAAATGATCTGTGAATCAATAAGACTTCAACAATGTCTGTTTGGTTGGGGGTGGGGGGGTATCTAAAGGCTTAATAGACTTGATTTAGTGAAGAAGGGTTTAAGGTTCTGGGGTACTCAGTGAATTGTTTCGGGGAAAAGAGATGGGGGCCAAAATAATTGGTCAAATTTGCAACACAAAGCTGCCACTTCACGTCTCTTTTCTTGAGTAAACTTCACTCTTGAAATCCCCAGCTAGTGCACTCAGCAGCCTGGTTAAATCCCCGAAGCCACAAACGACCGGAGGAGAACCAGAACTTTCCACTATAAAGATCCTGTCCGATCAGAAAGTGCTGACTAAGACCAGGCTCCTTCCTGTCCCACCCTCCATCACCCCTTGTTCTTTTTCTTTCTTTCTTTCTTTCTTTCTTTCTTTCTTTCTTTCTTTCTTTCTTTCTTTCTTTCTGTCTCATCAGGCGTGCAGCACACTCAGGAACCTTGGGATGGAACGTCGCTGGCCAACCTTTGTAAGGAAGCCCATTAAGGGAGCACATCAATATTTCATCATTGCTCACTCAGAAACATAGTTATAGAAGTTTCCAGTCCGGAGCCATTAGGGGGCAGACGTCAATATGTTATGGCAGCAAGCCTCTCCTCACCTCTTACCTTTCTGCTGTCCATCTCGCCCCTCTCAAGCGGAGAGGTTTCACTCAAGACAGCAGCAGTTTCCATTACTAGACACTAACACTAATCACTAACCATTAGGTATCCAAGCTGTCACAACGACCCCCCTCATTTTGGTAAATAGTCTAAGAGAGGGAGACAGACTATGAGGGTAATTTGCAAGGTAAAAAAAAACTGCACTCACAGAAAAAAACAAACGAACACCTGTTTTACATAATTTTATAGGATGTAGACAAGCCTGCACTGCTGTTGTGACACTTCTTGTGAGAGTTTTGACTCATGCACGTCAAAACAAGTCTGGCACCTTCAGTGAGCAGACAATCAGTGACAGCGGGTCGATTGTCAAGCAGAAATCTTGTCTCTCTCTCTCTCTCACACACACACACACACATACACACATACACACACACGTGCGGAGTCAAGGTTTGAGTCAAAGCATCAAATGGAAAAAAGTTTTCATTGAGGCAGGAAGTGGTAATTCCAGTCTTATGGTTTGGATTTTATAACCCTGATTTCAAATTATTACACGTTCGTTAGACCAGGACAAGCCTGCGGGGCTGAAGAGGAGCATTAAATATCACTCTGGTAGACATTTTATCAGATATTCCTGCAAGCTCACCCTTTAGTGTCCTTGGAGCTGAAAGGTCTTGTGCGTTTTGTCAGAGGGAGGTTTGGGGGTACAAGATTGAATAAAACAGGGGTCTATATTTATGCATAAAAACATTGGACATTTTTTTGTTCAAAGCTGAGCCAGGCTGAGTTACACTTATTAGGATGCTGTTTGCTTTTGGTGAGAATTCTGCTACTGTATGTTTGTCACTACTTTTTGTACTTTTTAGTTTAGTTTTTTTTTCCACTATAACTCAAAACTCTTCAGGTTCGTTTTCAGGTTTTGCTAAAAAAAAAAAAAAGCCACAAAGTGCACTTTTCAGAATTCAACCCGAAATATGTCACACAATGAACTTACCAGAGTGCAGAACCTCTCAGGTGGGTTTCCGCACGTGATTCCGGGCGGGTCCACCTTGATCCGCATGTAGTCCTTCATGGACACCGGACTAGGCTGGCATGCGTAGTGCTCCCACACCGAGCCCTCGTCCGTGCTCACCAGAGACTTGCACAGGTCGTACTGGCCCAGGGTGGAAGCCAAGCAGCGCAGCAGCAACAGCAACACGGCCTGGAGGAGCATGGCAGGTTGGGGGGGAGGTCTGCGGAGCGGGGTCCGGCACGGGGTGAGGGGACCACAGAGCTCAGAGGAGAGGAAACGCGCATGGAGCGGTGATCATAGGGTTAAGAGAAAATAAAATCCCCACTACTTTTAAAGTCAATTCACTCAACTAGCCTCCTGGCTTTTATAGATATATAGATATAGATAAATAAATCCCCCTGATAACAAATAAGACAAAGTTTATCTTGCAGCTTTCACTCAGTGTCGCCTGATTAAAAAAAAAAAAAAATTGGCGGCCCCGGGAGAACAAACGGACAGGGGGGGCTGTCTTGTTTGGTTTCCAGGAGCAAAAGAGGACGGTGGGTGGAGAGGCGGATACTGACAGAGGGATGCGCCTCGTCATTCACTTTTACCACCGTGTTTCAGGGAGTTGGGAGGGAGATGGTCGCGCGGATCCATGTCTCAGAGCGCGGCGTCCTGCTGTGGTGAACCGGTGCCAAATGGAGAGGATGACAGAGAAGCTGTTGCGTTTTCAAGTAGATCCATTGGACGTTTCAGGTCAGCTGAGTTCCTCTAATGGTCCTGAAGCACTGTGGAGACAAATGAGAGAAAAGTTCATACAAAAGTCTAATTAGTAAGCCAACTTTATTTGGATGTCTTTGCACGATTAACGCAACAAACCGCGAGGATGTTTTGGAAAGGTGAGGATAATAAGTTACCAAATCAATCAATCAACACATGAATAATTAAATTAACTACTCAGTATGCTTTTAAAACACTTTAATCTTTCTGTGGCATAAACTGCACCTAAACTTTGCAGATTTGCGCACTTAGAAGCGCCAAACTGTGCCATAACCCTGTGCGTAAAAACACGTGCTGCTGCTGTCGGGTGCCGCCTGTGTGTGTAATCTGCTCCTGCGCTGCACAGCAGAGAGGACTCCAGGTGTGAAGCGATCACTGGATTTTAGATCTTTCAAAAATCTGTACTTTTCAGAACATGTTAACTTGTGCCAAACAGAAATCTTTCAGCTATTAATGCGAAAACTCCACTTTTCAGTTTTAATCTCTATACGACGATATGAGTGTATTTAATAATCATCAGTGTTTAATAGAGTAATAAACATAAAACGAAACAAACTCATGAAGTTTTATAACCAAATTATTCGTTCCATGTAGTTCTAATTAGGTTTTAAACTGATCACGTAAACAATGATTTTTTTCCCCCTTTCCATGATTTAGTCTAATTATAATCCGTGACCTCAAAGTGACAAAAGTCAGGAGTATCCACAACCCGACCCCAAAACCCCGCGGACTTGGAGTTTACTTATCCCCCCAAGCACCGATCCTTGCAGGGGTGTGTCAGTTTGCGCCCGGCCCACCACACAAACTGTTTCATTCCCAAACATCACCGCTCCACCAGGCTGGAAGTCCTCTCATTAACTCCGGTGGTCCTGAAGTGGTCCGGATTTTGTGCACAAGTCGTGTTGTGAAACGCTTGATCAGATTTAAAAAAAAAAATAGTATAAATTTAAAAGAAATGAAAGAAAAAAAAACACTGACTTACTTCTTTCAAGCATCTCTGACGCCGGTCAGCACTTTGTGATCCCGTGCCCCGCCCCGCCCCCCATCCCCTGCTGGGCCAGATGAATCCCCTCCGAACCATCCACTGACCGGCGGTTCGGCCGTCCCGTTCCGCACTGTAACAACCCCCACCCCAGGTGATCAGCGTGTTCCTCCGCCGAGTACTTTCTGATCGCAGCGCGGATGGCTGCTGATGCTGCCGAGCTTCCCGCTGCTGGCTCCGCGTCCTAGATCTGGGAAACGGCCGGGGAAGAGAAAGCAGGCTGGAATCCCGCGTCAGGGAGTATCAAAAGTATAAAATATTGAGTTTGACGAAGGGCTTGTGCCCGCCCTTGTCCTCCCCCCCTCTTCTCCTCCTCCTCCCCCCTCCTCCTCTTCTTCCCCACTTTGCAAGCTCGGGTTTACCCGGGATGCTCAAGGGCAGAGAAATAGGAGGGGGAGAAAAAAAAGGCTTTATGGAAAATATATCCCTCCCTCCTCCTCCGACTCTCTCTCTCTCTCTCTCTCTCTCTCTCTCTCT